TCTTGACTGCAAGGGAAGGGACCTCTATTTATATGCATCACACGAGTGCCTTGCCCATCAAGAATCACACGAGTGTTCAGTTTGCATTAGATTAGGTTGTTTCAATCCATACATAATAAGGAATTCTATCAGCTCTTGTGTTTCAATTAGAATAGCTTTGTACAAGAAATAATCCAATAAGCTTGAGCTTTTACTTCTTGATTAGGCAAACTTCTTGTGGGGACCAAATCTAACGTATCATGGCCTAACCCATATGCCACAACTAAAAGACGTGGGATGATCAAACTTCCCTCCCATTAGAGGAGTGCGGAACAAGGGAGACACAAATTGCTCGTTCGATCCCATTACCATGAAGTGGAGGACGGGATGCGCAAAGCTAGGGAAGTGGGGTAAACCCACGATCTCGGAGTGCTATAAAAACCCAGCTAGACCTCCAGCAAAGGTACTAGAAATTGAACCGAACACTAAGAGTACGTTGCACAAACACTTACTTGAGCATCGGAGTGTCTTTTGCAGTTACTCACCCCCTTTCCATCATTCGATTTTGGGAATGTAATTCGAAGTTCTCTTTCAACCAAGGAAGCGTGCGGACTTCAGTCAAGAACCTGTGGAGGTATTTCTTCTTGAAAGAAATCCTGCGCCAACAGTTGGCGCCTTCTGTGGGAATCTTGCAATGTTGATCATAAATATGACTGAACCTGCACAAGGAACTCAAAACACCTCCGTCCCGGGGAATGTGATGCCCACTCCTCGACCCAGAAGCGCAAAGTCCAACGCCCAGGATGAGGAACCAAGCCTTGCTGTTATCCAGTTGAGGCAAATCATGAAAGAATTGTGCGAGACAAGAAAGGTAGTGGAGAAAGCTCTGGAGAAGGCGCAGAACACTGCTTGCCTTGAGGGCTCAAAAGAGGGCAAGAGGAAGCAGAGACATGAAATCTCTGAGGGAAACTCCTCCAGCAGCACACACTCGAGTGTCCGTGACAGGGCCACGGCAGAAGAGCAAGACAAAGATCTCGACTTGCATAAAATGGAGAAAAGGGCGAAGGACACTGATTTGTGCAATCAGATCGAGAAGATTGTCAGAGGGTACAAGCCACAAACACCCGCTGAATTAGCTCTGGAGGCGGCGAAAGGAATCTGCAAATCGCCATACACGGAAGACATCATGAGAGCCAAGAAACCAATTAAGTTCACCCAACCCAAGTTCAAGCTGTTCGAGGGCACGACTGATCCCATTGAACACATCTATCATTTCCAACAACAAATGGTGCTCAAAGGAGATGACGAGGCCCTGTTATGTAAGTTATTCCCCTCAAGCTTGTCGGGATCGGCCCTAATTTGGTTTAGACAGCTGAAACCAAGGTCTATTGGCGGTTTCACCCAACTCTGTGAAATGTTCATATCTCAGTACATTTGCAATCAAAAAAGAAGAAAGGACGTCACGATCCTATTTAGCACGAAGCAAAGTACCGGAGAAAGCCTTAAAGACTACTTGAGGCGTTTTACGGAGGAAATGTCTACTCTTGAGGAATGTGATTCTCATATTGCTTCGCTGGCGTTTCTTGAGGGAGTCATACCAGAAGAAAAAAAATGCACAGGTCTTTAGTGAAGACCCCACCAGTGGATATGAGGGAAGTGATGGCCCTAGCGGATGGAATCATCAGACTAGAAGAAGAAGAGCTCACCCAGTCAAAACGCACCACTTCCACCATTGCGACCCCAAAGCCTCCACCGGAGCAAAAGGCGGAGACAAAGCGATATTCCTTAAAACAAGAATTTAGCAATGGACCTAAGCAGAGCAGACCCTTCACCAGGATCACGGTGAGTTTAGCCAAACTTTTTCACGAGAACAAGGGCAAAGGTATATTCCGAACACCACCTGCGATCCGCGAATCCCCAGAAAAGTGCGACAGGAACAAGATGTGCGCCCATCATAATATTGATGAGTGCCGAAGTCTCGGGTATCAGGTGGAGGCAATGCTGAGGAAGGGAATGTTATCCCAATACCGCGCTGAACCTGAGAACAGGGCAAGTGAAAAGGGTGGGTCAAAAACAATGACCGGAAATATCGCAAATGAAGAACTGCTGGAGATCAACACCATCCATGGTCGATCGAATCCCATGGAAGGAAAAGAGGCTCGATCTCGGTTCGAAAAAAGACAAACTGAAAAGGTGAGACGCATAAACGGGATCGCATTTGCCTCTGAATTTGCCAAAGCCCTGGAAAAGATTAGAGTCATCTCATTCACGCAGAAAGACATGGAAGGAATTGAGTTCCCTCATAACGACGCACTAGTGGTGACCCTCCGCGTTGCCAATTTGATGGTAAAAAGAGTGATGATTGACGGGGGAAGTAGAGCAGACGTGTTATTCTGGAGCACCTTTAAGAGAATGAAGTTGGATGAAAATGAGATTCAACGAAACCCAACACCGATCTACGCATTTGAAGGGATGAAAGTTCAACCAATCGGAGATGTGACTCTGCCGGTCATTGTCGCAGGTAAGACCCTATTCGTTACTTTCATAGTTTTGGACGCGCCGAGCGCGTATAATGCTATAATGAGAAGGAATTGGATTCATCGAATGGATGGAGAAGCATCGACATGTTGCCAAGTGATGAGGTGCATATCCGAGGATGGGAGAACCACAGTTGATATCAAGGGGGATCAAGTGGAGGCTAGAAGATGCTACAGCATAGCAACTAATCCTAAGGCTGCGACTTCACAGAAGAGTGAGGATTTATAGCAATTAACGGAGGACCCACCAAAACAAGAGGAGGAGGATAACTTAGAGCTTCCGACGATCGAACCACTCAAGGAAGAAGTTCTGGATCCTTCTTATCCTGATAGAAAAGTGTTGGTGGGCTCCCTCATATCTGAAGATGAGGTAAAACAACTAATGAAGTTATTAAGAGAGAATAAGGACATGTTCGCGTGGTCACATGTAGACATGCCAGGAATCGATCTGGAGATCGCGTGTCATTGGTTGAACGTTGACCCAAACCACCCCTCGTACCAGCAGAAGCAGAGGAGGTTCACACCTCAGCGGAACCAAATCATTAGCGATGAAGTGGAGCGATTGCTCGAGGCAGGATTCATTTAAGAAGTGTGGTGCCCGACCTAGGTCTCGAATGTGGTGGTAGTGAGTAAAACGGATGGGAGATGGCGCGTGTGCGTAGACTACATCAACCTGAATAAAGCGTGCCCGAAAGACTGTTATCTGATACCAAAGATCGATCAAATGGTAGATGCTACCGCCGAGTATGAACTTCTCTCATTCCTGGACACTTATTCGGGATATATGTTGGACAAATTTTACTCTATCTATTTCTCGCAAGTGCACGAATCAATTGTAGTATAGGAATGCAAGCATGAGGTCGTTCCACAGAGACTTGGATGAAAAACACTTATTACTACTACTTAGACTCACAAGTAACCCTAAGACTAAATAGAATTTAAATGAAGTTGTGTTGAGTTTGTTGGAATGCAAAATAGCAAGTGACCAGTAAGTAGATGTTTAGAAAAATTAGAGACAAAGGAGACAAGCACTAGGGTTTCAACTTCACCATGACAATCCAATTTCATGCAACAAGTTAACAAGCATTTAAGTTGATCAATTCAATTTCTGGAGTTCGTTCTTTCTTATGTATGATTATCCATATGGTGTTTGGTTTTAATCAAGTACTCAGAAAACACAACTTAGCTATGGTGTTTAGTCTAAGCTATGAATCTGAATCCATTAAGCTTAAGAAGAACACTAAGGAACCAAGTAAACATTTAAACATGGTGGTTGTCCTAAATGCATTACCCACTCATTCACTAATCGGTTCAAGAGTCATATGGTGTTTATGTAAACTTGAACTAGATAACCTACATGCATGTGTTCATAGTGGCCAGTTATGTAAACATGCATAAAAATTCAACTAAGAACAAGTGAATGAGACCAGAAAATTAGAAGTAATCAACAAAGGGTAACATTAACTTGAAAACATGAAATTGTCTTGTCAGGTTACATTGAAACCCTAACTATGGATTAAGCTGCTCATAATGGGAAAGAAACTAAGACATAAATGAGAAAACATAATGAATACAATAAGAGTAGAAAAACCCCTTTTTGAAGTTTTTGTGGTGTCCAAGGCTTCTCCAAGTGCTTCTCCACGTCTAATTGATCTCCAAGTGTTTGGGGTTGATGGTGTGTTTGGGAAATGATGGGATGGTGGAGGATGGAGTGATATGTGGGAGAAGTGTATGAGGCAGTGGTTGATGAATGTTTGAGAGGGGATTGTGTTGGGATGAATGGTCTGCTAGGAATTGGAAGAGAGGGATTGTGAATCCCAGATATGAGTGATTGAGGATGGGTGGAGAGGGTTTTGTGGGGTTGTGAATCCCAGGCTTGCACACCATGAATGAGGAATGGAATTGGTATTTATAGGGAGAGGGGAGTGAGAAATCAGAATTGAATATAGCTAATGCAGACAACACTTGCATTAGAAAATCAGAATTGGTTGTTGCACTTCACCAACAAATCCCACCAGCAGCCATAGCTCATCATCATGTCAGCATGACCAAGCTTCCAACCAGAAACTATAGCTCATGCCTACCTCATCATGACCAAGCAACAATTAGGTCATCCTCCTGTCAGCATGATGTGTAATTTGATGGGCTCACGGATTGGGCTTGGATCAATCAAATGTCGACTTTGAGTTGTCCATCTTTAAGTTCAGAATGTCTTCTTTCCAAGCACACATGAATTGGCCCAATCCAAGCTCGGATGAAGAAAATAGGTCCAAAACGAATTTGTAACTCAGTCTTCAGTTTTTACACATTGTTTTCACCATTTTACTTCAAATGCCTCAAGTGGTACCTAGAGCTCAATGAACTGAATGACAAACACAAAAGAGGTTAAAAGCACAAGGTTAACTCAAAAACATAACTAAATCATAAGCTATAAGGGTATAAAATGATATACAATTGTGAACTGATCAATATAATCAAATCCCAATGGCAATTGAGGACCAGAAAAAGACGGCATTCATCACAGAGCGAGGCTTGTATTGTTACACAGTGATGCCATTCGGGTTGAAGAACTCAGGGTCGACATATCAAAGATTAGTGAACAAAATGTTCAAAAGCCAGATCGGCAAAACGATGGAGGTTTACATCGATGACATGGTCGTCAAGAGCCAGGAAAAATCCCAACATGTCAGGCACCTAGAAGAAGTCTTCAATATACTGAGAAGATACCGCATGCGGCTTAACTCGAAGAAGTGTGCATTCGGTGTTTCGTCAGGGTAGTTCGACATTAGATATCTACCTCGGATAGCCCAGAAGGGCCAGGTAATTGCCAATTTCCTAGTGGAATGTTATCCATCTAACAAACAGCAGGAAAACCATGATGAGGCCAAGGAGGCACCAAACCCAGACGAGGCCCAATGGGAATTGTATGTAGACAGATCATCTAATCAGGCAGGAGCCGAAGTAGGAATCGTCCTCTCGTCGCCTGAAGGAGTGGACCTGGAGTACTCCGTTCGATTAGACTTCCCCGCCTCAAACAACGTGGTGGAATACGAAGCCCTAGTGCTAGGACTCCAACTAGTTAGGACGCTGAAAGTGGAACGCTTAGTTGTCCATAGCGATTCTCGCCTCATAGTCGGCCAAACAACTAAAGAGTACGCGACTAAGGATGAACGAATGAGGGTATATCAACGGTTGGTAAAGGATTTAGCCAGCAGGTTCGAAGAAATAGAGTTTGAACGGATACCGAGAGAAATGAACGTTCAGGCAGATCGCTTGGCCGACGCCGCATCAACATCGGTGGAAGACATGAGGGTCTCCCCAGTGGGACTCTTATTGAGTCCCAGTATACCAATTGATCCTGGAGTCATGCAGATTGATGCCAAAGAAGAAACGTGGATAACTCCAATCATGAACTATCTCACGAAGGGAACCCAACCCAATGACCCGATTGAGGCAAGGAAATTGCAAATAAAGGCCGCAAGGTATGCCATTATAGATGATACACTTTTTCGTAAGTCTTTTTCAGGGCCGTATCTCAGGTACCTCGATCCACGTGAAGCCAAATGGGTGCTAAAAGAAATTCACCAAGGGACATGTGGAAACCACACGGGTGTGAGGAGCTTAGCCCACAAAGCGTTGACTCAAGGATATTTTTGGCCTTACATGGCCCGCGATGCAGAACAATTTTCACGGAAATGCGATAAATGTCAAAGGCATGCGCCCTTTATCAGACAACGAGCCGAGGAACTTAACCATGTTGAAGGGCCTTGGCCATTCGCCCGATTGGGGATGGACATCGTGGGACCACTTCCCACCGCAGTAGGGGGCAAGAAGTTCGTCCTTTTGGCCACTGACTACTTCACCAAGTGGGTGGAAGCCGAGGCTTACAAAACAGTGACCCAAACAGATGTGGTAAGATTCGTATGGCGGAATATAATTTGTCGCTTTGGGATACCAAGGGCCATAGTGACGGACAACGGGACCCAATTTGATAACCGTGAATTCAGAAGTTACTGCAAGGAAAAAGGGATCATTCAGCAGTTCTCGTCCCGAAGTTATCCTCAGGGAAAAGGGCAAGCCGAGAAAATTAATCGTACGATATTTGATTGCTTGAAGAGAAGGCTTGAACAACGCAAAGGCAAATGGTCAGAGGAACTGCCAAACGTATTATGGGCATACCGTACTACCAAACCGAAACCAACTGGCGAAAGCCCTTTTTCCTTGGCTTATGGAACCGAAGGCGTCATCCCCACAAAAATTGGACTACCCACAGTCAGAACATTGGTGGTAGAGAGCAATGATAATGAGCAATAGCTAGCTCACAACCTTGACATGCTTGAAGAACAGCGAGAAACTACGGCGTTACGACTTGTGAACTACCGGAACCAGACAGCCAATTACTTCAATAAACGAGTACGGCAGAGGAAATTCAAGGTAGGCGAATGGGTACTAAGAAAGTTCATGGAGAACACCAAGGACCCAAACGCAGGGAAATTTGGACGGACATTGGAAGGACCGTACGAGGTAACGGAGGCTTATGGAAAAGGGGCCTATATGCTGAGGCATATCGAGAGCAGTCAATACGTACCACGCCCTTGGAATGCAATTCATCTGAGAAAGTATTTCATTTGATTTTATAGTTTTGATTTCTTTGTTGCTTTCATCTTTCTGTCATTTATGAATTTTCCCTCAATTGTTCATCGTTCGATGAACGCTTAATGGAACACATGTTTTCTTCACATTCGAAATGTTTGGTCGAAGGCCATGTCTGTTTAAATTAGCATCACCTAAATCCACAGGGTCGAAGACCTTGTAAATTAGAAAATGCGTATACTAATCCATAGGCACAGAAGGTGCTTGGCCAAAAGGCAAAAAAAGTACGATTGAAGATTGCAATCAAGACGTGGTCGAAGATAACGCATGAAGAAGCGATTGGAAATCGCGCATAAAGATTACAACATGATCGGGGACCGTGACATGGTTAGAGATCAAGCAACATAAATAAGAGTACGCATGTGACAAGGTCGAAGACCGCATGATTAAGCATAATGATAGCATTAGGCTTTTATGGCCATAACCATAAAAGGGAAAAACATGAAACGTTCATAGGAGGAAGGCCTTCGAATTATTCAAAGCTGGAAAGTACATAAAACTACTGAGTCTACAGTGCGCGAACCCATAAGTAGCATGGGCTAGTCTGAAGGCAAGGGGAGACGATCCCAATCCACGTAAGGGTAAACCATTTTTGCCTTGATGCGGAAGTGGTGGATACCCTGTCTAAAACCGTCGCGTATGCCGTCGGAATGAGCGGCGGACAAGGCACGATCTGCATCAGCAAGATCACTTCGAAGGCGAGTCACTTGGGCACTAACACATGCTAGATCCTCCTTGAGTAAGTCATGTTCCATTAGCAGAATGTTATGGTCGAAGTGACAGGAGCAGCTAGGAACACGAGACGGACCAGCTTCATCCCGCGCCCATGGGGTGCTCTTTCTCATAGTAGGCTTTCCTCCACCTCTGGTATCACCGGATCGGGACCTAGACCCGAGGAACGAGTCGGGAACCACCGAGTAATCTGAAACATCCACTGGGGAGTCGGCAGAGGAATCTTGAGAGCATATCTCAATGATTCCATTAGGGCTCTTGGAATCTCGCTTAGGGGATTCCCTCCTTGACAGAGACGAAGTCCTCCTCCTCGGAGAGTCTCCCTTCTTTGGAACATCTGTGCAAAGACGAAAGTGGAACTTTAGCTTGCGTCTATGAGCCATGAATGGGATAGGTATGTTCACTTGAAAACCAAATTACCCTTTATATAGAGGCTTACCCAGAGACGTAAGGGACGCCTGATAAGGAGACGATAGATATCCAATCCCTTGCTTTTTGAACTTGAAAATGACGATACACCCTGGGAGGATCTTGGCCAGGTTTGAAAAACTATCACCTTAAGCCTCAGGTACTTACATTAGGATTAAATTTCAAATCAAGTGGATAATTCATAACGCTTGATAAAGCGAGTCTGGAATTCTCGAGACATGACCCAAGATAATTGAGTACATCAAAACAAAGACAGAACCAAAAAGAGAATACAACAAGTAGTGAACGAAACAAGGCAATCTAGGGCGTGTCATCAAATGGGTCAGGAACGACCTCCGAGGTAGGCCCAGCACAGGTAGAAAATCCAGCATGCGAGGTGAAGCCCGTAAATCCAAGGACAGGCCCAGTACTGGCAATAGACGACGCAACATTAGCGCTAGGGACAATGGTCCCAACCGACCTAGAAGGGGTTGGCCCATGAAAGGCTGCTGGTGGGGTCCTGCGATGGGGGATGTAATCCGTCGGAGGACGGTTTGCAGGGTGCATACCCAGAAATAGTTTGTAGCCAGCGGGATCAAATTCCAATTCATCATCATAGTCATCTGGGCCCGCCACAAACCGGTGCTCAGGGAGTTGTTGACCTTGAACCCAATCGTATCTGAATTGCCTGGCTACCTCGACCCTGATCTGCTTGGTGTTGGCTTGATACTCCTCGTCCCTATTGCGTGCGACATCCACCAGTTCTTGCTTAAGGCAGTCAACCTCCATCAATACAGTGCTTTGGCCACTTTTCAGAGTTTGCAGTTCGCCCCGCTGTTGCTCGAGCTCATTCTCACATTCCTTGATGTGCTTCCCGCTAAGTTCGAGGGTCGTCGTTTTTTCGCATATCTCGCGGCTCATAGCTTGAAACCTCGCCATTTGCGGGTTGCGAATTCCAACCATCTGCGAGAAATAGAAAGTGGGGCATTAAACAGGCAACTATGATAGGACATGGCAATTGGATAACACAAGCACAAATCCCAAACGTACCGCGTTCAAGCAATGTGATTGATAACCCCACATATGTTCGTCAGTCATGGACGTGAGGTCGTTCTCTCCCAATGAGCTAGCAGGAGTGGGGGCATGAGGGACTTGCTGAGGTCGGGATGGTGTACTCGAAGCGGACGCATTGGGTGAACCCAAACCCAAAACGACTTGTGAAGCATGGCGGGACTTCTTCGCAGACCCAGAGGGCTCGGGCTCTTTTCCCGGTCTCCTTTCCATACGGCCTGGGACCGACAATGAGCGTGGTGCTGACATATCTAACTGGTCAGACTCAGACCCGGATGTGCAGTCCTCGGAGCTGCTGTGCTGAGCTAACTCAGCCTCCCTTTCTTGAAAGCTGGCCTGGATAAGAGACGCTAAATCCTAGGTACAACAAAGCTCAACGTCGACGGAACAAATGTCCTTGAACAAGTCTATTTCGCGCAGGTTTGAATCGGCCAAAGTGAATGGCAAATAAGTCGCCGTGCGGCGAGCAGTGGAGAGATGAACGAGAGTCGTCGGATTGACGAAGCATGTGATATCCCACCCCTGACCAGCCAAATTGTTCTCTAACCAAGCGATTCGATCCTCAAGAACGAGATATGTTTTGTCCAAAAGGAGTTCTGCCAAAAGAAGAGGTTAGTTAGACCTGGAAAACACAACACGCTATATTTCAAAGACGTAAATATGTATACCAGGTTTTGGGCCAAATGCCGACGGGATAGGCATGTTAGACATCTCAGGCGCCGCCCATTCCCCAGTGATTAAGAGAGGTTGGTTTTTCCAGTACTTGGCGGAAGTGGGCTTACAAGTAAATACATTTTTACCAGACCCAGATGTAAAAAAGAAATAGTGACTTTCCACCCTAACACAAGCCAAGTCGTAGAGGTAAATGAAATCCTTAAAGCTAAGGGACACACCCCACTTCAAACCGACGGCTAGAAATCCAGATATGAGAATGTAAGAATTCGGGTTTAGTTGCATGGGGTGAAGTCCCTGCACCAGTGTACATATTCGACCCCAGAGGAAGAAGACCGACCCTTTCGTTGTCGGGAACACATCCTTTGGTGCGAGCCTTAAGTATCTCATAGTTCGGTGGAACACCACCGTACTTGGGCCAAATCTCGTGGCTCCACATGAAAAATAGCAAATATGAAAATAGTACTTACTGGTGGTGGCAAGAACAAGAACCCTTCGGCGCCTGGAGCTTATATATGAGGAACAAGGGCAAATGGTTTTGCGAGTGAATGTACCCCCATCAACCGAACTTTTATAGCGAGGGCGAAGATTGGAAAAGTAATTCACAGAAGTCATGGGAAAAAGTTTATCAAAAGCAAAGATAAGGCTGGATGTGGCCGGCTCAGATATTTGCCTCAGGCTCTGACAACAAAGCCTGCTATGATATGACAGCTCGAAATTATTTCTACCCAACACATGCACCCCCCTGGTAGAAAGCTGCATGCACTCAATGTAGGCAATCAGTAGTGCAAGGTACACCTACGAAGCTAAGCTTGTTCACCCCTTCACACAAAGACTAGAGCACGGACAGTTAAAGCACACCAAAAAAAGAAAAAAAGTCTTGAAAACCTTGGACTGGCGGAGAGACCGAAGGCACACGGGTTCGGAAGGACAGCTAATGGGTATTGGGGTCTATATGGATAGCTGAAGCACGAAAAAAAAAACAAAAACAAAAAAAAGTCGTGAACACCTTGGATCGGCGGAGAGACCGAAGGCACACGGGTCCGGAAGGACAACCAAGAGGTATGGGACCCACCGGATTGGCAAAAGCTCAAATGGAGATGGGATCAGCCAAGAGAGAGAAACCAAGAGGTATGGGACCCACCGGATTGGCAGAAGCTCAAAACCAAGCGTAATCCAAACTGTTGTTGGGATCGACTAGGAAAGAGAAAGCATGGAGCATGGGGCCCATTGGATTGGCAAAACCTCAAAACCAATAGGGGATGGAATCGGCTAGGAGAGAGAAACCAAGAGGTATATGGCCCACCAGATTGGCAAAAGCTCAAAACCAAGCGCATCCCAACTGTTGTTGGGATCAGCTAGGAAAGAGAAAGCATGGAGCATGGGGCCCATTGGATTAGCAAATGCTCAAAACCAAGCGCACCTCAGGGGCTGGGGTCGGTTAGCAAAGAGGAAAATGTGCAGGGGCCCACCGAATCGGCAAAGGTACAGAAATCCATAATAAAGAGAAGGGTCCACTTGCGCATGGGATTGGCTGTCCGCATTTGGATACTCCACATGGGAACGTGACAGTCCACAGTTGAAGCTTGAAAAGGTAGCAACGTGCATGAAAATTCATATTTGGATATTTCACATGCAAGATGTGGAAGCAACACGCATGAGTAGGAATCACATTTTTGGATTTGACCAGCAAGCCCAAAAAAAAGGAAACGTATGGCTCATTTTCAGGCTCGGCCATGAGCCCATCACGGCGGCATGCGCCCAATCCGAAGAAACCA